AATCCTATGATCACACTGTTCTGTATCTATGAGCAGAACAGTTCGGTGTGCTTGATGAAAATGTAACAGCAGTCTGACATTTCTCTTCAAGTTTTTCCAGTTGCAATGAGCTTGCATTTTAAATATCGAAAAACCTGACCAATAGGAGAATGGCTTAACAAGGAAGAACATATTTCCATTCAGAAAAGAGAGAAGTCCAGTCACAAGTCTTACAGATGTATCTGTGGGTCCTTTATAGGGAAGAGGTGGGGGATGAAATACCAGAAGAGAAAGAGTGCATGTTCGGAAGTTCCTTCTCAAAACTAAAATGAGTTCTGAATTCCCAGTCAGGGCACTGTAAGAAATCCAAACTGGATCCCATGTTGTCTGCAGTAATCAGTGGTAATGGGAGAAAGTAAAACTGTAGCCGGTTGGTGAAATTTTCTTTCCGTAATTTCTGGTTGCTACAGTGACATAAAGGACTTCTTTTGTAAAATATCAGATACCAACTACAACTACCACATACAATTTTTGCAGCACATTCAGGGACCCAGGCAACTTGGAGCACTAACTTAAAGAATGTGACTTCATTTCTTCCCACTCTTGAAACACTCCAAGAGGCTCCCTTGGAATACTCCTTGGGCTCCCTGTGCAAGAGAACAAAGTGAGAAGTTTCTGGGCCTTGGAGGCCAGACCAAAAATTTCTCAGGCTAAAGGGAAGAGTTGGACGCTTGCGTCAGATGGACGTGGCTGTTGGGTTCATTTGCTGGCCTTCTTCTTAATCTTGGTGGCATTGATGTCTGCTTTTGTCTTCTGGATTCGCGAGAATATCTCCTTAAACAGGGCTTTGTACTCTGGCTGGCTCTGCTCAAGCCGCTTGTCCACGGCCTCTACGTGCTTGCTGAGGCTCTTCTCCATTGTCTTGAGCTCATCTAGCTCATAACCCTCTCCCCGAAAGTCCCTAAATGAACTATCACGAGAGATGGGGCGGGAGGTCTGGACTCCAGCGTGACGCACACTGTCCTTGTGCTGTCGGCACTTGCTGAGGAGCTCCTCATACTTCTCCAGCAAGGCGTGGTACTGTTCATCTACCTCCCTCAGGATTGACATCCCCCTCTTTCGTACATTGTTGGCATGAAGTGTGTAGTTGCCCTCATGGCGACTCACAGCATCCTTGGTCACAATAGCATTTAGGGCTGTGTCACTACAGCTTTTCCGGACGGGGTGGTTTGGAGAGGCTGTCATGGAAGATTCATGGTTTTTACCTCCATCTTCCTCAGACAAGTCTATGTAATCAGCTTCTGGGGCGTTGTTTAAAGGCTCCAGAAGTGCTTCTGAGAGGTTGTCCTCTCTGCTGAGGAGGTACTTCTTGACTTGTTTCATTTGCTGGAGTTCCAGCAGCTCTGCCTCCAGCTCTTTAATGCGCAGCTTGCAGCTCTCCATCTCACACACACGCTGTTCAAGGTCTGAGTACTCCTGGATGACAGATGTGTACTCTCTCTCCACCCTTTCCTTCCGCTGCTTTTCCTGGTTGACTTGAGACCGGAGGGAATTTACCATTGCTTGCAGTCGCTCATTCTCACGCTCTAAGGGCATCTGATTGAACTCCATTGAAGAGCTGTGAAGCTGGAATGCATCCTCATACCTGATATTTTAAAAAAAACAGCAACAAAAATAGCAAATTAATAAAGAAGGCAGGGAGGGCAGGTGCAACCTGTAAATCTAGTGAACTCATGGATGCCGTATCTCCATATGAGCTCCCAGGGGAAATCAGGGCCCTGCGGGATCTTATGCAGATCCGCAGGGCCCTGCAAGACAGAGCTCTTCCACCAGGCTTTCAACTAGGAGCTGCCCCCACTACTACGTACCAACGAGCTGGCCCGCAGTTTTAACATCTGGCCTCTACCACTGTGCTCAGGCAGATCATTGAGTGGCAAACTGTCTGGCGGTATGGTATTTCCAGCATGCCATTTTATGTATTTAATGTATCAGCACTAGCACTTTATGAGAGTCTTGTTTTATTGTAATTGAATTTTAAACTGTTTTTATGTGAATGACTGGTCATTTACAGACCAATTATGTAAGCCGCCCTGAGCCCACTCGTGGGGAGGGCAGGGTATAACTTTAATTAATTAATTAATTAATTAATATGATAATGGAATGAAATTTGTCAACACTTGTTCATTTACCTCTCAAGTGAATATATACTTAAACCTAATGTGCTATTTTACTCTGTGTGGGGGGCTGGTCCCTCTTGTATGAAGCCTTCAAACATGATTTCCCCTACTTCAGTCTGTAGGGTATAGTCCAGCAAGAGTTGTATCATGTGATTCTACTGAACATGTGCCTCAGGTTCAGAGACAGGGAGGGAGAGACTTTGCCTGTATTCTAACACTCCATTGAAGCCCTTCTCCAGCCTAAGAAGCCTGCCTCCAGCTTAAGTGGGTCTTCTTCCGATGGAAGAGCCACTCAGGTTAGCCAAAGACTCCTTAGCTATGAAGCTGGAAGTTCCTCCAGCCTAGATAGGATCTATTTCCCTATCTCTATGTAGCTTTTTAATAGATCAGGCTGCTCTGTTGTCTGTCCTTTTCCTGTACTGAAGATCTTCTAAGTGTATAGTGGAGCTACCCTGCCATACTGCACAGGTGCATTTAGGGAAAACAAAAGGATAATCAGCAGCAGGTAACCAAGTGGGCTAGGAAAGTTCATATGGCGCAGCTATACTATCCCTTACTCCCTCTGCTCAAACACTAACAAAGGCCGTATTTGGGGAACAGGAGCAAGGCATTGCCAGAAGCCTGATCTGCAGCAAATGGAGCTGTCACTGTGCATTTATCCTGGCAGCCCTTTTGCTAGAGGAAAAGGAAAGCAAAAGCAGTTCCTGAAATGAAAACGGTCTGGGTTAACCCTGAAAAATGACCATGTGGAAATCAGATGCCTCTCCTCTTCAGACATCTGAAAGCGGGGTGAAAGCAACCTTTACAAATTTATACATCTCAACTTAGCAGTAAGCTGGGCTGCTCTTCAACAACTAAATACTGCCCCAAGTCCCAAGCCCCACCCCCCAAACCCGAACACCGCAGCCACCCCCTCCCTTCTCTCTTGAAAGATTTAAAGGACCCTCCAGCTTTCAGCTTTAAATTTTGCAGAGGGGTGGCTGTGGGCGCATGGGGCCCTGCCGACTGGAAGCGCTTAAAGAGTTCCTTTAAGTGCTTCCAGCCGCCGGCGAGCACGGGCCCTGCACACCCAGTCTCCAAGCGGCATGGGGCCCCGCCAGCTGGAAACTCTTAAAGGGTCCCTTCAAGCGCTTCCAGCCAGTGGGGACTGGCTTTGCATACCCGGTCTCCATGGCATTGCTGCTTGGAGATCGGGCACGGGGCCCTGCCGGCTGGAAACTCTTAAAGGGTCCCTTCAAGTGCTTCCAGCCGGTGGGGACTGGCCCTGCATGCCTGATCTCCAAGTGGCTGTCAAACTCGGGTCCTTGTTTGCCATGTATTTCTGTTGCACCCAAAGAGTGCTTGTGAATGTTTCCTCATCTTCTTGGAGAGGAGTGAGAAGTGGAGTGCCTCAAGGATCTGTCCTGGGACCTGTTTTGTTCCACATCTTTATCAATGACTAGGAATAAGGCCTGGTGTGGAAATAAATATGGGCTCTAGAAAAAGGCTCCGGGAGAGTGCCCTTGCCTGGGGCACTCAGTGTCAATTTGCTATGGTGACCTCAGCAGGGTATAATGACACAGAGTCCACCATTTTCTCCAGAGGAACTGATCCCTGCTATCTGAAGAAGAGTTATAATTTTGAGTGATCTCCATCCCTCACCTGGAGATTGGCAATAATGGTTCCCCAGATTGGCGACAATGGTTCCCCAGGAGGAAATGTCTGGTTTGGAGTGTGGAGTCTATGGCATTGTACCTGTTTGAGGTCCCACCCCTCCTCAAACCCCACCCTCTCCAGGCTCCACCCCTCAAGTCTCCAGGAATCTCCCAACCTGGAGTTGGCAACGCTATCTCCTTCCCAGCCAAGCATCAACCTGCTGTTATCTGCCCCTCACTCTTCTGCTTTCCATCTCCCACACAAACAACTGCAGCCTCTACCATGCTCTGAAGCCCTGACTGCTATGTCACAGTGGCTGTCACAGGAGGGCCATCTCAGCAGGGTATAAGGACACAGAGTCCAGCATTTTCTCCAGGGGAACTGATCTCTGCCATCTGAAGAGCAGTTGTAATTCTGAGTGATCTCCAGCCCTCACCTGGAGATTGGCAACAATGGTTTCCCCAGGAGGAAAAGTACAGTTTTTCTTTGCAATGGGGACCAAAGCAGCTTACATCATTCTCTTCCCCCCTTTTGATTTGCACAACAACCCTGTGAGGTAGGTTAGGCTGAAAGTCTGTGAATGGTTCAAAATCACCCATTCAGCTTCCACATCAAGAACCTAGGTCTAGCAGACTGTGCTCTGAAGCACTGACTGCTATACATAGGGTAGCCAACCTCCAGGTGGAACCTGAAGATTGCCAGGTATCACAGACTCTACTATAAAATCTCCAGGAAGTTTCCTACCTGGAGCTGGGAACCCTAGTTGAGTTTTCTCCCAAAGGCCAAAATAGGTGTGGAAAGGACCTTTTACTGACAGAACCAACCTTGGTTGCCTAGCAACAGGCACTGAGGGGAAAGTAGGATTGCCAGCTTTGAGTAGGGAAATACCTGGAGAGTTGGGGGCGAATCCTGTGGAGGGCAGCATTTGGGGAGGGGAATGACTCAGCAGGGTATAATGTCATAGTGGGACTGATCTCTGCCTGGCAGACCTTGCTCTGAAGCGCTAACTGCTACGCCTAGGGTAGCCAACCTCCAAATGGAGCCTGAAGATCGCCAGGTATCACAACTGAACTCCAGACAACAGATCTCCCCCCCCCCCCGGAGAAAAAAAAACTGCTTTGAAGGGTGGATTCTATGGCATTCTGTTCAGCTGAGGCCTCTCCCCTTCCCAAACTCTGGCTTCCTTAGACACAGAATATCCAGGAATCTCCCAACCTGAAGCTGGCGACCCTAATCAGGACAGGACCCAATGAATTCCTCACAAAGGCCTGGAAAGGGTTTCCTTCTACCAGCAGCCACTGTTAGGCCCACAGAGGAGTCAAGCAGGAGAAGTGTCTTTGTTGGGAGAGACAGCCGTTTGCCAGTTATTCTGACAGGGAACAGTGGCTGAGGTGGGAGTGGGTGGGGAAGAGGAGGAGACCTAGCACCCAGTCAATGGCATGCGAGTACTCTTGAGTGGCGGCTCACGGGCCAATGGTTGATGGAGCGCATTGCACAGCCAATGGGAGAGCTGGAAAGTGCCACCATACTACTCAATTATATATAAGGAAAGATTTGGATGAAGGGATAGAGGGAATGCTTATTAAATTTGCAGATGATACTAAATTGAAAGGGGTAGCAAATATGGTAGAAGACAGAGTCAGGATACAGGATGATCTTGACAGGCTGGAAAACTAGGCTAAAACAAATAAAATGAATTTCAATGAGGATAAATGTAAAGTTCTGCATTTACGTAAGAAGAATCAAATGTAAAATTATAGGTTGAGGGAGACTTGTCTTGTTAGTAGTATGTGCGAAAAGGATCTAGGGGTCTTAGTAGACCATACACTAAACATGAGTCAGCAGTGTGATGCGGTTGCTAAAAAGGCAAATGCGATTTTGGGCTGTATCAACAGAAGTATAGTGTCCAGATCATGCGAAGTGATGGTACCACTTTACTCTGCTCTGGTTAGACCTCACCTAGAGTATTGTGTTCAGTTTTGGGCACCACAATTTAAGAAGGATATAGACAAGCTGGAACGTGTCCAGGGGAGGGCAAGAAAGACGGTGAGGGGTCTGGAGACCAAGTCCTATGAGGAAAGGTTGAAGGAGCTGGGTATGTTTAGCCTGGAGAGGAGACGACTGAGAGGTGATATGATAACCATCTTCAAGTACTTGAAGGGCTGTCATATAGAGGATGGTACAGGTTGTTTTCTGTTGCCCCAGAAGGTCAGACCAGCACCAATGGGCTGAAATTAAATCAGAAGAGTTTTCGGCTAAACATTAGGAAGAACTTCCTGACACAGCGGTTCCTCAGTGGAACAGGCTTCCTCAAGAGGTGGTGGGCTCTCCTTCTTTGGAGGTTTTCAAACAGAGGCTAGATGGCCCTTTGACAGCAATGTGGATTCTGTGGACTTAGGCAGATCATGAGGGGGGGCAGGAAGGGTTGCCTCAGTGCTTCGTTCTTGTGGCCCTTTCTTACATGCCCAGGGAAATGCTGATTGCCACTTTTGGGTCAGGAAGCGATTTTTCTCCAGGCCGGTTTGGCCAGGCGTCCTGGAGGTTTTTGTCATCTTCTGGGCATGGAAAAGCGGTCACTGTGGGTGTGGAGGGGGAGGTATTTCTGAATTTCCTGCCTTGTGCAGGGGGTTGGACTAGATGACCCTGGAGGTCCCTTCCAATGCTATGATTCTATGATTCTAAGGACCAAGGTAAGTGCAAAGGGCCAAATTTAGTAAAATTCCTAGGTTCTCCATCAAAATCATCAAAAGAATATTTAAGAAAAGGAAGTTCCCCCCCACCCTACCCCATTCCTGATTCCTGCTGCGTACCTAGGACTCGAAAACAGCTCCTTGAGGCAAGGAAATGTGTGGATGGTTCGGCGTCGCTCTCTTTTCTCACGGCGGACTCGCAGCTGATCCAGGCTCTGCCGCTCTTCTACCTGCTTTTGTAGCTCATCTACCTGATTCTGCAGCCCCTCTATGGTTTCTGTCAGACTTCAAGCAAGAAAAGGGAGAATGTCAAATTACCTTGAGACCAAAGTACAGAGTAACTATTACAGTAAGTAAGGTATAGCACAGGAAACAGGAGAAGCTCCCCATCTGCCTCACTTTCCCCCACGGTGTCATCACTTGGAATTCCCAACCTCCAAAATGTGTCCTCTCACTCTGCAGTAAACTCCTTTAAAATTACTCGTAATTAAGAATACAGGGCTGTTTGATCATTCCCTGAAGGGATGTTTAAAAAATGTGCAGAAATGTAAAAAAACCTGATTGATATTCCAGCCCAAAGTATAGTATAATGCTAGAACTGATGACAAGTTACAATATATATATTTTAAAAAACAATTTTATTTTATATCAAACACACAAAAACAAACAAATATACATACAGACATTCATTGGGAGAATCTATCCATCTCTTTAGATTATCTGTTAAGTTATCCATATATCTCTAAGCAGGGGACGTTTCGGGCAGGAGCGGGATGGAGCGGCACTCCTGCAGTTAAGTAAACAGTGAAGCCCCGCCCCCAGCAGCCCTCTCCTCATGCTGCCGCCTCCCAGCAGCCCCCCCCCCCCTGGCCGCT